CATTCTTACCGGTTTTATTAATGTCGCTTGCCAGTTTTACAGCAGCTGAGCTTCTCGCTCCAGTTCATATAACATGTGCTCAAGGGCAAGGGAGATAACTCTACGTTAGAAAAAAGAAGGGTAGCGTTATTCGAATAAAGAATAGAATTTCATACACGGACACTCAACAATTGCAAACCATCGATAATTCGATGCACTACAAGTGAGACACTATTAAATCTTCTATTTTCTAATGAGAGGTGGGGTAGTCTAGTGGATGAATCGTTTGCTCGAGACGCCCGGCTTTGATTTAACCATACGTGTTAGGTTCGTTACTTATTTCATGTTCCAAAAACAAATCACACAACGTGTCGACTGGGTGACGACTGCGACAAGACTGCCGCTCTTTATTCCCTGACCCGTACATTGCACGTCCAGCATGCGATAATGTTTTCGTGACGACTAATCATATATTAGCGTTCGGGTTGCGGTAGTCTGATGACCTACAATTTTTAATTCAAATTATTAACAGTTATAACAATACGTGAAGCATCTTTCTGGAGATATTGCTGCAATATTGCAATGTAAAACCATTCTTACCGGTTTCCTTAGATGTGTTGCACTTTAGAAGCCGGGTTTTCGCCACTGTGAACATTAGTTCAGTGATAGTGGTAATAGCAGTGTGTCGACTTGATTTCGGAAGACACCCCGAAGTAAGAAACCCAAGGGGGTCCGTTAACACACATTTCTGTAGTTTAGCAGTACATAACTATCAATTACTGTCTCTTTTATGGATATTGATATATCGTATCATTACATAAAATGGTGCAGTGTTAAGAGTGAGTGAGTGAGTATAGTTTTACGCTGCGTTTAGCCATACTTCAGCAATTTCTCGGTGGGGGACACCAAAATAGCTTTCACACATTGTATCCATGCTGGAAATCGAACCTGGGTCTTCAGCTTGACGAGCGGACGCTTTAACCGTCAGACTACCCCACCGCCCACAGTGTCAAGAAACATGATACAAGTATTTGTCGATATTAATAATTTGCTTCATAGATATGTTAAATGACTCCGTATCGATTTAAGGTAAATCCTGATTTCGTAATGTCTGGCCAAGAATCGGAATATTTACTGGCCACAGTAATGTATCTATATATTCTACTAAGATACGCTACCAAGATTAATCTGTCATATCATCCTATTTCAGTATTTAATAATGGTTTTGTTCTGTACGTTGTCTTGTGTATTTGGGATGTTTTTATCATCCAGTCATTGATCAATTCGCAGGTGACTATCCTGGAAATACAGCACAGAGTTGGTGGACGAACTAAGACCATCAAAGATAAATTTTCTGACGGCCTGCATGCTGAAGGTATGTCACATTGAACCCTAGATATTTAATGTAATATACTTTTGAAATTGAAACAATGAAAGCTTCCTCAACATGTAACTGCCTGTAGTGCCACTTCTAGCAATATTCCAGCAATCACGTCAGGGAACACCAGAAATGGGCTTAACACATTGTACCCATGTGGGGAATCGAACCCGCGTCTTGGGCAGGACGAGCGAACGCCTTAACCACTAGGCTACCCCACCGCCCCTTTTAACTGCCTGTAGGGTGTACTCCTATATAAGGATATAGGCACGGAGACCATAAGTTTGTTGAAGCCTATTGCTGCTACTTTGGAATCATATTTGATTTTTTTTTCAAATTGAATTTTCTGGTATAGTTCTCATTTTCACACTAATAAAAAATTACCTATTTGGTTTATTTCCTTGTTGTTTTTTTTCAAATTGATTTTAAGAAGTCAAAATTTTAAAACTGTTTGTTGTTCCTATCATTTTCGCAAAATTTGAAAAAAATATACAAAAGACTAAATTTGTGAAATTTCAATTGAAAACATATAATAATGCGACCATTGGGTTCTCGAAGAATGTCAGTTCTGACAATACGTGAGAATTAAGAATATGGCAGGGCTCCTGTGTTTGAAGTGAGTAAGGTTGTGATCGAGTTGGGTTTAGTCGCCTTGAACCATGTATAACGGTGTATCCGTTAAACTAGGAAGAATGCCCGAAGTGACGTTTACAACTTTTAGTGAGACCTAATAGGGTAATCTGACCAACCTTAAACCACAATCAGGAAAAATGAGAGGTTAGAGCCTGCAATTATGGAATTCCCTATGTGTGCAATTGTGACCCCTCTGACGCCGAAATGTTTGAAATAACACTGCGCCATATAATACCATTTATTTTAAGGATTGGTATATGATTGTATAATATCAGTGAAAAGGGAGTCGATGCTTCATAACTTCAGGTAATTTTGAAGGAGTGCTGCTGTTCAATATATCATTGGTGCCATTTAGATGTCATTGTTTTCAAAAGATGTCATACTATATGTAATATCACTGGTTTAGAGGTCAGCTGTGTCATATAATGTCATTAAGTTATGCAGGAGAAGTAATTTATAAAACCGTCAATTTACAGGGGAGCGCGTTATTATCTCACTGATCTAAAGAGGTCCATTACTATATTCTATATGTGAAAGGGGTGAAGTACTTTATAATCATTGATACCAAAGGGAGTTTAACTTGTAACATCGTTGGTTTAAAGAAGAGGAGTTTTGTATAATGTCATAGACTTCAGTATGTTTTATATAATGTCATTGTTTTAGTACCGGTGAAAGTCCGGGTTAGAATTGGCCCAAGCTTGTCGTAAGAGGCGACTAACGGGATCGGGTGGTCAGACCCGCTGACTTGGTTGACACATGTCATCGGTTCCCAATTGTACAGCTCGATGCTCATGCTGTTGGTCACTGGAGTGTCTGGTCCAGACTCGATTATTTACAGAATTAGAAACTGGTACGTTCCCCAGATGTTGGGCAATTGGCATAATAGTTCCTATCCATAAACAAGGTAATATAAATAATCCAAATAATTACAGAGGCATAACACTACTGAGCATATTTAGTAAAACTTTCACCTTTATAATAAATAAAAGACTTGTAAACTGGGGAGACTCAATGGATAAGATCAGCGAAGCGCAAGCTGGCTTCAGACAGGGATATACGACAGTAGATAATATGTTTATACTGCAAAGTATTATTCAAAGGTATTTAAACTCTAAAGGGGGGAAATTCTACGCATTATTTGTAGATTTTTCAAAAGCTTTCGATTCAATACAACGAAAAAAACTTTGGCTTCTATTTAATACCCACGGTCTCAGTGGTAAAATGAGTAAACTTTTATGCAATATGTATGAAAATGTCAAGTCTTGCATTAAAAGTAATCATAATTATTCAGAAACATTCGACTTGCAACTTGGTGTGAGACAAGGCTGTATACTAAGCCCATTTCTATTTTCCTTTTTTATAAATGAGTTAGCACGACAAATTGAAACTAATTGTGTACACGGGATTCAACTCCACCCTGATATAGTTCATATTTTCCTATTGCTATTTGCAGATGACATTGTTTTGTTCTCAAGCACGATTAATGGCTTACAGAATCAAATTAATGAACTTGAAAATTACTGTGGTAAATGGAAATTAACTGTAAATAGAAAAAAAAATCGAAAACTGTTGTATTCAAAAATGGAGGCAAATTGTCAAAAAAGGAAAACTGGTTATATAAAGGTATGCAGCTGGAGTGTATTGGCTTTTATAAATATTTGGGACTATATTTCACCAGTGGCCTGTCATGGACGAGGCATGTAAAATATGCAGCGTTACAGGGACAAAAGCATTAATTGGAATTATGAAACAGTTGAGTGTACTTGGTAATATTAACTACTCTTCATTCTTTAAAATATTTGATGCCAAAGTCAGTCCAATTTTATCATATGGGGCCGAAATTTGGGGAATAACAAAATTTGACGAAATTGAAAAAATCCATTTATACGCATGCAAAAGTTCCTCGGAGTTAAAATTAACACTATTAACGCAGTGATTTATGGTGAATGCGGTAGGTACCCAATGCACATTCTTACAAGCATTAAAGTTATTAAGTACTGGCTAAAACTGCTGATTATGCCTTCAAATCGCTTACCCAAGAAGTGTTATAATATGATGTTGTTATATGATAAAGGTGGACAAAAAAAACTGGGCAACTAATGTAAAAAAACTTTTTATATTCTATTGGTTTTGGAATTACATGGAATACACAATATGTCGAATCACCTACGTTATTCATACAATCCTTAACGACAAGATTAAAAGATATGTATATTCAAACATGGAGTGAAAGGATATCCTTATCAAATAAATGCATGTATTATCCATTGTTTAAAAATGCCATAGTTCTTGAGTCATATCTATCCTGTGTTAATGTTAAAAAGTTTAGAATAGCACTGGCACGATTCAGATGCTCTTCTCATGATTTGTTGATTGAAAGAGGCAGATATATGAATGTAAAAAGAGAAAATAGAATATGTACACTTTGTAATTTTAACGAAATAGAAGATGAATTACATTTTCTCCTAATATGTCCATTTTATGACCGGTTGCGAACAAAATATATTAAAAGATACTACTATGTCCATCCAAATGTGATAAAATTCTCCTCATTGTTAAGTAGTAAAAATCCAGTTCTTCTACAAAATATTTCAATGTTCATTTACTATGCTATGATTACCCGATCTAAATTCCTCTCAAATGTAACATAACTTTATGTACTATAGGCCTGTAGCCTTCTCAGTGCAAATAAAGATTATTATGTTCTACAAAAGTGGGAACGAATACCAGAAATACTGCTTTGCTTACTGTGTATTCTAAAACTGGGTAACCAGAAGACAATATTCCTTACATTATTAGCTACATTCTCTACAGATGAGAATCCAGTAGTTGACAATAATCCTTAGAATATTAGCTACATTTTCTGCATGTGAAAAACCTGTAGTTGACAATATTCCTTACATTATTAGCTACATTCTCTACAGATAAGAAACCAATATTTGACAATATTCCTTACATTAATAGCTACATTCTCTACAGATGAGAAACCAATATTTGACAATATTCCTTACATTATTAGCTACATTCTTTACAGATGAGAATCCAGTAGTTGACAATATTCCTTACATTAATAGCTACATTTTCTACAGATGAGAAACCAATATTTGACAATATTCCTTACATTATTAGCTACATTTTCTACAGATGAGAAATCAGTAGTTGACAATATTCCTTACATTAATACAGTAGAGCTGTGTATCGTGGCCAATGGTTGAAGTGGCGAGACGATATATCCCGATAGTAGTTTAATGAGGCGAGACGATATATCATGAAAGTATTGGCAAGGAACCTGCGAGACGATTATTATCACGATACAGTGATGGCGATACGATACTTATCCCGATACTTTACAATCCTAAAACAGGACATATATGATAGATAAAATGACCGAATCTTCATTTGTTATTCAGCACAACATGTGTTACATTCACACACACTTAAAAGGCTGTTCATGTAATAAAGTTTCAGCATTTAATGCTTAAGAAAGTACAATCAAACATATTCAGTACACCTTGCTCTAGGTTTCCCTTGAAAGTTGTGTTTCTGCACCAATGCTTGCACAGGCAATTTATACAGTAATTTATACCATTAATCACTGCAAAAACTACATAAGTATGCTTTCTAAATTTTATCTTCTCTTTCTTAACAAAGCTAAGACATCGTTCATAGTTGTTAATAAATGGTGTTTGTCAAACAACTAAAACATGTTTCAATTACTTAAAGACAAGTCTTTACCTTACATTAATAGCTACATTTTCTACAGATGAGAAACCAATATTTGACAATATTCCTTACATTAATAGCTACATTCTCTACAGATGAGAAACCAGTAGTTGACAATATTCCTTACATTATTAGCTACATTCTCTACAGATGAGAAATCAGTAGTTGACAATATTCCTTACATTAATAGCTACATTCTCTACAGATGAGAAGCCAGTAGTTGACAATATTCCTTACATTAATAGCTACATTCTCTACAGATGAGAAACCAATATTTGACAATATTCCTTACATTATTAGCTACATTCTCTACAGATGAGAAACCAATATTTGACAATATTCCTTACATTAATAGCTACATTCTCTACAGATGAGAAGCCAGTAGTTGACAATATTCCTTACATTAATAGCTACATTCTCTACAGATGAGAAATCAGTAGTTGACAATATTCCTTACATTAATAGCTACATTCTCTACAGATGAGAAGCCAGTAGTTGACAATATTCCTTACATTAATAGCTACATTCTCTACAGATGAGAAACCAATGTTTGACAATATTCCTTACATTAATAGCTACATTCTCTACTACAGACAATGAGAAACCAATGTTTGACAATATTCCTTACATTAATAGCTACATTCTCTACAGATGAGAAACCAGTAGTTGACAATATTCCTTACATTAATAGCTACATTCTCTACAGATGAGAACAATATTCCTTACATTAATAGCTACATTCTCTACAGTAGTTGACAATATTCCTTACATTAATAGCTACATTCTCTACAGATGAGAAATCAGTAGTTGACAATATTCCTTACATTAATAGCTACATTCTCTACAGATGAGAACCCAATAGTTGACAATATTCCTTACATTATTAATTCTCTACAGCTACATTCTCTACATTCTCTACAGATGAGAAACCAATATTTGACAATATTCCTTACATTAATAGCTACATTCTCTACAGATGAGAAGCCAATAGTTGACAATATTCCTTACATTATTAGCTACATTCTCTACAGATGAGAATCCAATATTTGACAATATTCCTTACATTAATAGCTACATTCTCTACAGATGAGAAGCCAGTAGTTGACAATATTCCTTACATTAATAGCTACATTCTCTACAGATGAGAAACCAATATTTGACAATATTCCTTACATTAATAGCTACATTCTCTACAGATGAGAAACCAATATTTGACAATATTCCTTACATTATTAGCTACATTCTCTACAGATGAGAATCCAGTAGTTGACAATATTCCTTACATTAATAGCTACATTCTCTACAGATGAGAAACCAATATTTGACAATATTCCTTACATTAATAGCTACATTCTCTACAGATGAGAAACCAATATTTGACAATATTCCTTACATTAATAGCTACATTCTCTACAGAAACCAGAGAAATATTCCTTACCAGTACAGATTTTGACAATATTCCTTACATTAATAGCTAACAGATGAGAAACATTCTCTACAGATGAGAAACCAATATTTGACAATATTCCTTACATTAATAGCTACATTCTCTACAGATGAGAATCCAGTAGTTGACAATATTCCTTACATTAATAGCTACATTTTCTACAGATGAGAAACCAATATTTGACAATATTCCTTACATTATTAGCTACATTCTCTACAGATGAGAAACCAATATTTGACAATATTCCTTACATTAATAGCTACATTCTCTACAGATGAGAAACCAATATTTGACAATATTCCTTACATTATTAGCAACATTCTCTACAGACGAGAATCCAGTAGTTGACAATATTCCTTACATTAATAGCTACATTCTCTACAGATGAGAAACCAATATTTGACAATATTCCTTACATTAATAGCTACATTCTCTACAGAAGAGAAACCAATATTTGACAATATTCCTTACATTATTAGCAACATTCTCTACAGACGAGAATCCAGTAGTTGACAATATTCCTTACATTAATAGCTACATTCTCTACAGATGAGAAGCCAGTAGTTGACAATAATCCTTACATTAATAGCTACATTTTCTACTGATGAGAAACCAATATTTGACAATATTCCTTACATTATTAACATATATTATTAGTGAGTTTTGAATAACATTATATTCAAAAGATTAGAGAAAGTGAGTTTGACCAGAGGTTATTTATTAAAGAAATCTATATTACAAATAATGCTTTGTTAGCCTATATAAATGGAATGTCAGCGGATATTCATCATAAAGACAAAAATAATGATTGGTGTAAATGATTGGGTTTATCGACAATATTTCCTTTTGGAACTTTTGGTTTGTGCGATATCCAAGTTTCCATGTCTCGACAGAGATAAAATATCTAACATCCCTTGTTCCAGACAAGTAGCTAACATAGTAGTGTCTAAATATCCTATTTCGATCTAGAGGATCCATTGTATTTTCGTAGCGTTCCTGCAAATAAACGGAATAGAATAATTTTATTGACACTCTTCCTGTCTTCAATATCGCGTCCATGTTCGTGCTTGATTTTTTTGTCAAAGGATATGCATGAAATTGTATATCCGTGATCATGGGTTTTAATCTCACCCACACGGATGCAGAAATCGTCTAGGTACTGCTAGGTACTGCAATACCAACTGCGTCCAAAAATGTGCAGAAAATATACGATCGTGGGTTCGAATTATGTTTGACCCGTGAAGGTCCGGGGTAGAATAGGCCTTCAGCAACCCATGCTTGCTATAAAAGGAGACTATGCTTGTCGTAAAGGCGACTAACGGGATCGGGTGGTCAGGCTCGCTGACTTGGTTGACACATGTCATCGGTTCCCAATTGCGCAGATCGATGCTCATGCTTTTGATCACTGGATTGTCTGGTCCAGACTCGATTATTTACAGATCGCCGTCATATAGCTGGAATATTGCTGAGTGCGGCGTAAAACTCAACTCACTCACTCACTCGAATTATGTTTTTAGGTTTGTTCGTGGCTTATAGCAAAATAAAAATGTCCTGGGCCTATATTGATTCGGGATTTCCTTCCATCTCAAGCTGACATGCCGAGATATGACTTACACACTGTTTAAAGTGCCCTGGACCAACTCATTCTCTAGATTCTACTAATATTGAGTGTAATCAACTCTGCACAGCCCAGCTGTCACTTCTTGAAGAAGAGTGAACTAAGCAGATGAACAGACATTCTCACGATGCAGCCGTGCAGGTTCAAGGGTGATGGCGGATGTGAAGCATTGCGTCCCTTAGATGTGCCAGAATCCTATTACAGCGGAGAGCAGATTCGGCCTGGGTATAATTTGACAGCGACATATCCTTGTTCTTGGGAATCACCAATCAGGAAAAGGTTTATTGGTTTATTCCCGTCACTAAGCTAACATGCTGTGATTTAACGAATATTGAATGAAAGAGGTATGAAAATCAGCTCAGCTCCTTTCACATGGATACAAGATATTTAAGTAAACGCAAACTTGTTGGTTAAAATTCAGTTATTGGGTACTGACCGCGAGTTGCATGTCTCAGTGATTTGAAGTTTTCTTTTCCCTCTTTAGGCCCGGTGGGGTGGCCTCGCCTGGGTTCTATTCCCCACGTGGTACAACGTCTAGAGCTGGTTTCTGGTGAAATTACTGTTATTGTTCATATGATGGCAGCGCTGCCGATCTATATTTTACTATCGCTTCTACTGCTATATCTGTCAAAGGCACCTGCGATATCTGTATTTGGAAATAGTCAGGCAATGAAACTATACGATGACCAATTAATCTTTCTTTCCAAAATACCCGTTTTGTGTCTAACAACACTTCGGAGGAAAATACCATCTTTACCTGCAACTCATTATGTCGTCCTTAAGTCGCATATATTTGAAATGGAGACGTTATCAATAGAGAGAAACGTGTTCTTCAACTCATTATATCACGTAAAGATCGAATCAAACAGTGAAGGTCGAGTACTTTTCGTCAAAGCTATGACATTTACATTGCGTACATATATGGCGTTTATAACAAACCTGCTACCGAACATGCCTTGAACTTGTAATACGAAGACATGTCCTAACTGAACGAGGGGCGGTGGTCTAGCCTAGTGGTTAAAGCTTTCGCTCGTCACGCCGAAGACCCGGGTTCGATTCCCCGCATGTGTACAATGTGTGAAGCCCATTTCTGGTGTCCTCGCTGTGATATTGCTTGAATATTGATATAAGCGGCGTACAACTCGCTCACTCACTCTAACTGAACGTGGTCAAGTACTTTCCAGTGCGCCAAATGTCACTGAAAAGACCATTCGTTACCAATTTAGCGAGCAAACAAAACAAGACGCGTGTTCGCGATCAAGGTTGTATAAACATGAGGACATTTTTCAAACAAAAACGACCTCTTGTACTGAACTGTCTTCTAAGATTGATATGCAGGCACGTCAACACACACATTCTCATCTTTTGTTTACAAAATCTAACTTTCAATAACACTATTTTTTGTCAAATTAGATCTAGATAAAAACTGCTTATACGACGATCTTCAATATTATTTTTCAGCAAGGAATTTCTTTGATAATCATAATATTGGCACTTTGTCTTCTTCCTGTATTAGACAATTTCATGCTCTGACTGTCTTTTTATGGATATCTTGAACAACTAGTATTAGACCGAGTAATCACATTGTCTTAACTGGGGAATGATGATGACAAGACCAGCTATTGCACAGAATCATCGCAGAAAAATATAATTTGAAAGCGGAGAAACGCCAAAGTCCATACAAAGTAACTAGCATTTTCAAAGAACGCTTTGATACCACAACAAGTCACTTTACCAGTATATACCAGTATCTTCCGTATCTCCCTGTTTGTTGCGTGTTCTACATAGGGCATAAATAATGCCACGATATGCTTCCCTGTGTGGGTTTCACTGCAAAAGTCTCACTACGTCGCCCGATATCTACAAGCTATCTGATAATGTACATCACGTGACCGTACTTGTCACTCGTTTGTACACAAATGAAATCAGTGAGTGAGTGGGTTTAGTTTTACGCCGCTTTTAGCAATATTCCAGCAATATCACGGCGGGGGACACCAGAAATGGGCTTCACACATCGTACCCATGTGGGGAATCGAACCTGGGTCTTCAGGGTGACAAGCAAACGCTTTAACCACTAGGCTATCCCACCGCCCCCAAAATGAATCACAGAAGCTTTCCAAGTCTGTCACTCCCCTATTTTTGTTTAAATACAATAGCCACTCAATTCTCGACAATATATAAATGTCAATGACTCAATGACCCTGGGTTCAAGACGTTTGAAATAACTCAGGCATGCTTTAGTATTAGCAAAAGTGTTTGTGTACAGTGTAACCTGATATCGAAAACCAGAGCTGAGTGAATTTCTCACAACGCAAATTGTAGGAAGGACATAAAGCATGAGTGAGTGCGTGAGTTGAGATTTACAGTCACATTGGCAATATTTCAGTCATATCGTGACTAAAACAGGTCATACTTATAAGATTTATAATGCTATATTATAACATCTGTCGCCAAGGGACAGTAAAACAACTAGCATATCACAGATACAGATTTAAAACTAGCATGTAACTTACAATTATATACTATTTAGGACACTGCAATATAAAAACAGGCTATAGATCACTAGCAACTGAAGGTAGATCACCATACTAGGACCATTGAGTGGGAAGGACATGAGTGAGTGAGTGAGTTCAAATTTAAAGTCACATCGGTAGTATTTCAGCCATATCGTGACTATGAACGTTGTAAATTTATAAATGAATAAAACAAAGTGAGCTAATATACCTACCTGTCTGCAAAGGACAGTAAACAACTCGATTATCACAGAAATGAATTTAAAACTAGTAATTAAATCTAAAACCATTTTGACTATAAATGACAATACAATATACAAACAGGCTATAGATTGCCAACAACTGCAGGTAGATCACCATACTAGGGACCATGGGGTAGGGAAGAACATGAAGGAGTAATGGTGTATGCAGGGTACTGAAGCTTTTAATGAATAGCTGTTTCGTTCTAAATCTGATGTATGTTCCTATTAAATGTCGGTTATATTACTTTAAGAATGTATGCTCGTGTTCTGTTCATCGGAAGCTCATGTAACTTGCAACAAATGTTGTTTCAACAGAGGTTGAAAGTGTGCAGTCAACCGTTATGGGTAGTTATACTGATTATAGAAAAGCTTTATCGCTTTTTCAACTGCTGAACATAAGAGATAATGTTAGTGAAACAAGCATTGTCACTAAGGTGACATAATCCCCCGCCGCAAATTATCAAATCAAACTTAAAAAGTAATGAAAGTGAAGGTCATAATTTAATTTAAGATAAAGTTAAATGTCAACAAAAACATGACCAGTCAACCTTTCTTGATATCTTGCTCTGTAGT